ATATTTAGTTTTATGGTGGCAGATAAAGCATATTTTTATAATAGAAAAGAGTTACAAAAAACAGACGTTTACATTCTGAAATAAACAAAAACAAAGAACATGAGTAAGTACTTTGATCATTAACATGTCTTTAAGAACAGAACTGTTGGAGCAGCAGGGTTCTGGTCTTATCAAACACACAGAGGCTGCAGGAAGCAGTTTCTGTCAGCAGGGGGCAGAGTTCTTCTCTTTATTCAGGATCAAAATCTGAACTTAACAAAATTTGTTTTATTAAATTATAATCAACTGCAATTTATAATTAACACACAGAGACCAGTTTAAGATAAATAAAGTATGCCAAAAACACAATTTTCTAACTTTCAGACAGTTAAAAATCAGTGAAAACTACAAACTACACTTTTAAAAAATGTTTTAAGATTAATATTTTTCTTAATAATATTCAATTTCTCTCGCAAGGAAACATGGGCAGATACAGCTTCTATGGAAGCCTAAGTAGACACATCCTCTGAGAGTGATCAGGGGTCTCATTTATAAAGGATTGCGTGGAAACCATACTAAAAGTGAACGTACGGCCAAAAGGCGGAAATGGCGTACGCAAAAAAAAAATTTCAGATTTATAAAACCATACGTACGCACGTTTCTGCGCATCTTTCTTTTATAAATCACAGCTGCACGTCAGAGTTTGCGCACGAGGTCCCGCCTCAGGTTCTACCCTCTACACGCCCACATTCGACCATAAACAGTCAATGTAAAGTACCTCATGAATGTTAAGATGTATTTAAATCAGTCAGCTGATCAATGCCAACAAAAGTGATTGGTTCAGACACGCTCCGTCGTGTGTCTGGAGGATGACAGGTGCTGACTGACAGCTGCTCACGTGAACAGAATGTTTGTAACTGACACAGATTTTCCATCATTTTGCTTTAGAGTAATCTTAACGTTTTTTATAAATAAAAAAAACCTCAGCTTCAAATCAATCTCCCATCACAGCCTGCAGGATGATAAAAACAATAAAAATTAAATTAAATAAGTCAGATAAAATTAAAAGTAAGTCCACCGCTCTTCTCCTCGTCCTCTCCCCCTCCTGCCTGCTCTGTTATCCGCGGCAGATACCCCCCACCCCCCCGCGCGCGACAAACACGGACTTTAAACGTGGTTTTATAACATCCACACTGGCGAGGTGGATGCGCCCTGCGCGTGTATCCAAAGCTTGACTATTGCTGTCCTGCTGTTCTTGTC